GGTCATGTGGGTGGTGTTAGGGACTGTGGAGGTCATGTGGGTGGTGTTAGGGACTGTGCACGTGTGCTAGCTGTGGTGACTGCAGGATTCGGGGTTGAACTCTGGGTTGTTCATAGGCTATAGGGTTATGCTAGCGGTCCTGAGAGTGGCCTGTGGTTTCACTTACCAGTGTGTTTTCCGCGTCAGGCTGGGAGTTCTAGGAACAAACAACACAGAATACAAGGCTCAGTGTTCGAGGTTCTAACCCACTTCAGACGGTCCATCCCCACATCCAGCTCAACCCAGTGTCGACAAAGAGAGATCCTGTCCCATGTCCATCCACACCCAGTGTAGACAGCAGGAGACCCTGCCCTGCGTGTGAACTTTCTAACCCACTTCACACGCTGTCCCTCTGTGTGGGCACCGAACAGGTAAGTGTCCTGAGTAGCTGCTGGCAGCTCTCCCTCCACAAACCCCAGATCTACAGGACACAGAGGTGAGGAGTTGCAAACACACACTTCCTGTACCCACAGCTGCTGACCCACCCACGCAGGCCCCAATGGCCTTGGGACAGGGTCCCCTCCTGTCTACACTGGGTGCAGGTGGTCCTGGGACAACATCTCCTCCTGTCTACACTGGGTCCAGGTGGATGTGGAGCAGAGTCTCCTGTCTACACTGGATTCAGGTGAACGTGGGGCAGGGTCTTCTGTCTACACTAGGTTTGGATGGACATAGGTCAGGATCTCCTTTTGTCGATACTGGGTTAAGGTGGATGTGGGGCAGGGTCTCCTCCTGTCTACACTGGGTGCAGGTGGAGGTCCGGCAGGGTCTCATTCTGTCTACACTGGGTCCAGGTGGAGGTGGGGCAGGATCTCCTCCTGTCTACACTGGGTGCAGGTGGATGTGGTGCAGGGTCTCCTGTCTACACTGGATGCAGGTGGAGGTGGCGTAGGGTCTCCTCCTGTCTACACTGGATGCAGGTGGATGTGGTGCAGGGTCCCCTCTGTCTACACTGGATGCAGGTAGAGGTGTGGCAGGGACCCCTCCTGTCTACACTGGGTGCTGTGTCTACACTGGGTACAGGTGGAGGTGGGGCAGGGTCCCCTGTGTCTACACTGGGTTCAGGTAGAGGTGGGGCAGGGTCTCCTCCTGTCTACACTGGGTGCAGGTGGAGG